TATATTATCAATGATGATCTGAAGACAAAAGACTTTAGAAAATGATCTATGATTAGATGTTTTATCAAAGGATGATGGTCATTGATTATAAACGACAAAATTTTCAAAAGATGAGTGACAACCACTTACAAGCAATTATTTCTAAGGTTTAGCCATTTGAACTTACGGAAAATATCACTAGAAGGTTCGAAGACTTGGAAGACCTCAAGATCCATATAAATAGATATCATGTTTTTAGTAAAAAAAATATTCATTCTCAAAATATGTTCATCTCATTTCTAAAAAATCCCCAAGAGTTTCTCTATCTCGAGTCGATGTTCAAAGTCTCTAGATTTTCAAATAATCATTTCTCTAGATGTATGTACGGATTGTAATTCAAGTTTAATTAAAGAAGGTAAAATCTGAAAGTATTTTATTCAATTCTTGTTATTAAATTTATTTTTCCATGATAATTTCATTTCGAGTTATTCTAACTATTAATTCTACAAGATTTGAAATTTTTGTTAAAATAGTGCTCGTTTTTAATAATCAAGCTAATCAAATTCATGCTTAAACTATTTAATTACGTCTAACAAAATCTTGATGAATTTTATCCCTAATAGAAATATTCTATTAAGAATACAACAATCAAATAATCTATAAATATTTCTGAGCAAAATCTTAAGGGTTCTTACAAACCTACTAAGTACAATTTTAAACAATAATCATATTCTTGATGCTAGATGGCTCGTAAGAGCTAGTATTCAAAATCGATATAAACAAATACGTTATCTAAAAACAAAACTATTTGTTTTCTAAATATAATATTTGTTTACTATGTTTACATCATCATAACATCATAATAATCATATGTCAACAAAATTGGTAATACCCCTAAAAAAAACGTTAATCTGCGATTTCGTTCAAAGAGCTACGTTAGGCTGCGAAAAAAAAAGTATAAAAAGGAAGAAAATTGAGAATTTTTCCATAAAGTCACAGATGGTACAAGGTCATCTTTGTCNGACTGCAATTTTTTTTTTTTTTTTTTTTTTTTTTTTTTTTTTGTAACCCTTTGAGTTTGAATGTGATTTCAGATGGTTGACTGCAATTTCAAGATCTAGTGGGAAGACAAGGTTTTTTGTTAGGGTTTAAGTACATTGGGCTCTCATGCACGGAGCCCATACAAAATCACAGCCCGTGACATTCCATTTGCCGTTTTAATGTCTATTTTGGTCTTTTCATCAATTTTTTTGCTATTGTTTAATAAATTATACAATTAGACTAAATTTGTACTTTTCTCTATTTCTAATGTACGTTTTAAACAGAGGATTATAAATAAAATATCATACGACTGCAAGATTGGATTAGACCAGAAACACTAAGTAGTGTGTAGGCTTTTCCAACAAGGATAAAGATTATAAATATGATAATCATGTTATCAGCGGATAAGAGAAAAGATTACAGCTTTTTTCTTATTAGCATCGTCTAATACAGTCTAACAGCAGTACCTCATGAAGCACCAAGTGACACTTACTAACACAACCACTCCATAAAATACTAAAAAAAAAACAAAGATTAATATAGAACATATTACATGTGACATAAACATCAAAAACTCAACATAGTTTTTATCCTCACATCAGGTTGATACTACACAAGTTTTTCATAATGCAATCATAAACAACTGTAAATCTCCCCTTGAAGAACTTCATTGCCTTATTCCTCTTCTCTCTCTGGTGGAAGACCACATGGCAACAGCATTTTCTGCAAAATAAAAAATAAAAAAAGAATTACTTGAACTCCTATAACATTCACAATAGCAAAGCACTTTCATTGATTTGTTTCTTATAGCATCTTACTCAGCATTGTACTTTTTTTTTTTTTTGGATTTAGCTTATGAAAAAAGGAACAAAGAGAATATATATATATATATATATATATATATATATATATATATATATATATATATATATATATAAAAAGTAACCACTATTTAGAAGGATAGTTGATGTATGATTATAATGATTATATGAAGAATAAATACCTGCATAAAATTGTAACGTTCTCTTCCAATTGATTCATTTTCTGCTATTGCAAAATATGCAAGCATTGGATAATGCCCAACATATGATGCATAGCTGTCTCTTTGGATATTAACTGCCCATTCACTTCAACCAAACAAAAAAAAACAAATATTAAAAGTTAAAACACTTTATCTCAATAAGTGAGAAAAAAAAAATCAATTTGAGGTAAAAATCACTAATACTAATATTAAAGAATGACATAGATCCTTTAAATAAAACATATCTTTTATTTTGTAAAATAATGTCACTTAATCTTGTACAGTTAAAAAAAATGTCACTCACAATCTGTTCATGTCTGCATGCCCTGTTCCCACATACTTAGCTTGAAGATGCTCAAGTTGAGAGTTGATATTAAACCTGTCACTAGCCTATGAACCACTCAAATAAAATTATATTATTTTTAAAAATATTATATTTTCAAACAAATTATCAAAACAGATGAAAGGATGATAAATAATATGCACCTGCATATTGCCCTTTTTGGTATAAGTTCAGATTTTCAAATTGTCCAGATGCTGTAATGTCATTTGTAACAGATTTCTAGGATTAGTATCAAATCAAATACTTGAATAACAAGAATTTTATGTAATTTAATCACTAACTAGATTTTGATAAAATGGTGAAAGTAGAAGAGTTTTTTCTGTAATTTCTCCAATAACCAGAATTTTATGCCCAATTTGGAGAATGAAGAGCAAGTTGCTCCCGATATCTAGGGTTTTTGACTTCTAATTTTGAACAGAAATGTTTTTCGTGAATATGAAGAAAAATACAGCAATTCACAAATCAGGCTTTCAAAATATAAACTTTAGGGCTCCAATTTAACTACCAAACAAACTTTAACTCAAACAAAATAATGAAACTCTATAACTTACATATTTCCAGTACTTTCATCTTTCAAATTTTGGAGTTGAAATTTTAAATTTAAGAAGACATTGATAACTTTGTAAGCAATCGACACTTGTAGCTAGAGAATCATCTAATCCTGCAAGAAGTAAAAACAATGGTTCTCCAATCGTGTTTACTTCTTGCAAAGTTTATGACTATCATCGTTAAATTTTAGTTTCAGCTTGTATAAATACGAAACCAAAAATGGAGAAGCATTTAACAGTAACCAAACACTGGAGAAACAAATCAATCGATTAAAATTCAGAAATGTTTAAGCAATCAAGCATGTTCCTGACAATAATTCCGAAAATTTATAGCTATTCTACTATTGACTATGATGGATTACTTCTAATCGTTTGTTTGTGAGCAACAAACTTCGAAGCTCTATCGATTGATCACCAGAAATAGAAACTTGTAGCTTACACTGATACAGGGACATACCACATACACGCATAAGGTAAGGCAGTAAAGCAGTAACAGGCTACCAGATGAAAGAAGAATATCTTACCGATTGCCGATTTTGAAAACCCCGATTCAGTTTTTACGATGGTGGAGTCAAGGAGAAGGTGAGGAAGGTTTAAGATTTTATAGAAACCCTTAAAAAGTAAAAGCCCCAAATTTTGTGCTACCGTCCACTAAAAACAAGAACCTTTATATAAAAATATGGGTTTTATTGAAAAAAATCTAGAAATTTTTTTGGGAAAATATTTGCTAAGGTAATTAACTTTTCGTTATGTTCACATCTGGTAACTATATTTTTTTTTACACATCTAGGTAACAAACTTGTAGGAAGTGTTCACATATAACCATTATGACCGGCTGTAGCATGTCACATCCTAGATTTGAACACTTTCAACAAGTTCGTTACCTAGATGTGTACAAAAAAAATAGTTACCCAAATATGAACAAAACGAAAAGTAAGACTAAATTACACGAATGGTCATTGTGGTTCGGGTGAATTTTTGTTTTTGGTCCCTAACTTATTTTTTAACTCGGATGGTCCCTACTGTTTATTTTTGTTGCGTGTTTGGTCCATGTCTTACCTAAAAAGACTATTGTGCCCTTATTAATTTATTTTTTAATAAATTTTCTTATTTATGTATTTATTTTTTATATATTTAAAAAAATTAATAGACCCCGCATATCTGTATCTCCTCATATATGTTAGGGTTTCAGGAAACGAGAAGGAGGCGGTGTTAGGGTTTCAGGAAACGAGAAGGGCGACAGGAAGAGAAGAAGAGAGATGTAGACAGATGAAGGGGTAATGGGGGGGTGTTCTTCGTCTCCTGAAGGATTCAATTTGGAATCTTCTTCTGTAGCAACTGAGCTAGAGATCGTCTTCATGGAGTGGTTGTTAAAACTTCTCCAACTTCCTTGGTCTTCACAACTCCCTAGATGAGATGATTAAAAGCGATCTTGAAGTTGCATACCCAGATCTTCAAACTAGAAAAGGGAAATCATACGGGTGTCTTGATCGTTTGATTGGTTCCTAACAGTTTGAAACATGATTTCATTTTGTTGTGCAATTTATGATTTAAACCAGAAGCTCAACATAAATCGGTCATTAAGAATTTGATTTTTTCTTTTTTTTTTGAGGATAAACTAAACAAATCAGGTGAAGAAGAAGAATAAAAAGAGAGAGAGAGAGAGAGAGAGAGAGAGAGAGAGAGAGAGAGAGAGAGAGAGAGAGAGAGAGAGATTTGGGTTTTTTTAATTTTTTTAATTTATCTTTTAATAAGAAAAATATTTAAATAAATAAAAAACTAAAAAAAGCAAAAAGCAATGGCAAAATCGTCTTTATAAAAAAGTTCAAAGCAAATTGGACCAAACTCGCAACAAAATGAAAAGTTTGGACTTCTAGTGCTAGTCCAAACTTTTTTGGACCAAAGTAGTAATTTTCAGCTAACCACAGGGACCATTTGTGCAGTTTTGTCATTATATATTTGGAAATTTAGGATAATCGGTTTTTTTTTCTTTTTGTATTTATCCATTTCAAGATTTTAAATTAATTCTCGGTCTTTTAAGAAACAAAGTTTGCCATAAAATAGTTAAAAAATATTACGGCAAATTTTAAATTAACTCTAGTCACTTAAAATTTTAATTTTGCCATAAAAGTTTGACTAAAATTTTAAATTAATCAAGTCACTTAAAATTTGTCATAAAATAATTTTAAAAATATAATCCTTTGCATATGCTCTGCAAAATCATTATTTATGAAATTGGTTTTTTCCGTATGGTAACAAAAAAATATTAAACAAACAAAAAAGCAGTAAAAAAAAACAAAATTATACTCAAAATTTGTTCTTCAAAATACAAAGTTGTTTTTTGTTATGAGAAGTTTTTCATATTATTACAGAATTCAGAATTTTGATAAAATAACTTATTTTTTGAGGTTTTTTTGCAGTGTTGTAAAAAGACCGATTAGTCTCCGATTAATCTTTTTGCGGGATGCGATAGACTAAGCAGTAGGGATGACATTTATAACCGAAAAACCGGACCGAAATCGGAATCGGACCGGAACCGGAACATGTAAAACCGGTCCGGGTCCCGGGTTTAAAGAATGGCTCTATCCGGGTTTCGGGTCGTTCGAGTCCAGGTAAACTGGGTTTAAGAACCAGAACCGTGTTAGGAACCGGAACCGGTTTTAGGGGCCGAAACCAGTTTCTGAGAAAAGTTTAAAACATGCATATTTCATTCGTTTGAAGTCAAATTGGCATAAGGTTTTCTCCAGATTGTAGTTTATAGTTTGTACATGATTTTAGACTATAATTTTGTCATTTTTGGGTTTATATTCATTGGCTGACAGTCTCTCAAAGTCGGGATATCAAAGCTGGAAATTTTATGTTTTTCAGCTTTTTTTGTATCCTGTGATAGTTTTAAAACATACATATCTGATTCGTTTGAAGTCGGAATAGCATGCGGTTTTTTTTAAAGTGTAGTATAGAGTTTGTACATGATTTTAGACTTTAATTTTCTCATTTCTAGTTTCATATTTATTAATTTATAGTCTCCCAAAGTTTGGATATCAAAGCTGCGAATTTTCTGTTTTTCAGCTTTATTTTTGTATTTTGAGAAATTTTAAAACATACATATCTAATTTGTTTGAAGTCGAATTATCATGAGGTTTTTTGCAACGTGTAGTTTAGAGTTTGACATGATTGTAGACTATAAGGTTGTCATTTTTGGTTTAATATTCAATTACTAACAGTCCCCCAAAGTTTGAATATCAAAGTTGAAAATTTTCAAAGTTCAACCACTAAGTAATTACCAAAATATTCCGGTTTTCTCGGGTTTTCCGGTTCTAGACCCACTTTACCCGGTAACTTACCCCGAACCAAACCGGAACCGTTTCTTATATACAGGTCCGGTTTTCGGTCCTACAAAATCTCATTAACTGGTTCCTGGGTTTTTCGGGTCTGGGTCTACCTTCGGATTTGGACCCACTCTCATCCCTACTAAGCAGTGTCTAGCGCCATGTCTAAACAATTAGTGAAGCTGTCAAAGCCGATGAAATTTTAACATCTTGAAAATAAATTATCTCAATAAAAGTTATTTGAGGAAGTACTAGTGTTGCATTAGTCATATTACCTTATTTTGTTATGATATTAGTCATTTTTTTTAATTATAAGTAGTTTACAATTTAGGATCTCGACTAGTCGCTGACTAATTCTGACTAGAACAATCTCTAATCATGAGTCAACCGACTTAGTAAGATCTAACGGCTTTTACAACCATGGTTTTTGTGTAGGTATCTTAAAATTTATTTTGGCAACAAAAATTAAATGAAATGTTAGGATGAAGAGATTTTCCCTGTGTTAGTGTAAAATAATTAACAATCTTGAAAATGCCTTGGGGAACAATTTCATAGCGAATAATATATTTTGTCATTGTGAAATGATGGCATATTGATTTGTTAAAAAGGTATGTTAGCAAATATTGAGATATTGATTAAATTATTTTAGATTTGTTTGTAATTACCTCTTTTACAATATGAAAATCGAATGATTTACCAATGTTTAAATCAATTCTTGAAAATTGAAATGGTTATGCTATAGATTTATAATTAATAAGTGATTTAAATTCGATCGAAACTTGTTTTTGTAAGATTTTAAGCAATAGATGGCAAAAACATACGACAAGGCTGATGTGGAGCTCAACATGTTATGGGTACCCCCACCTCAACATGCTGAAAATAAACCATTATTGGCATTCCATTGAGGAAGAGAGAGAAAATTGTATGTGTATTAATCATTTAATCCTATTTCTAATTTTCTTTTTCATCTCTTCTCCATTGTCATGACATCACACTCTTTCTTTTCCTTTGACATGATAAATTAAGATATATCTTATATGGAGCTCAGGTGGCCATGACAATTGAGAAGATGACATTACTTTCTCCGATTCAAGCGGTACATTATTTCATTACAAACTATTAGTGCAATGTTTTAGATATTGATTTTGAATATATGTTCTCTAACATAGAATTTAACTAAAAATACGTTTTATTCTCGTTTAGTTTATCCATTAAAAACAGACTTTTAATCTTTATGTCATTTGCATCTATTTTCTTTTACCTAAAATACAAAAGTTAATCATCTTAACAACAAACGTAGTAGACATCCTAGGCCAAATACTGAACAAATTAAAAAGCTATAATTCATAATGACTTGGTTGAAAAATCTTGAATCTCTAAGGCTGGAGGGAGTGGCCCTCGCTAGGGACTTGCCTCCAGCTCGCTACCGTCGCCAAAACCACTCACATCAAACTCGCTAGAAGCATCACCAACAATGTCTCGACACCCCTGTAACGATAGGAAAGAGAAAAGAAGAGAAGAGGGTTCTTATTGGCTTTTCTATTTTCTTTTCTTTTTTTTCTTTTTTTTTATTTCCAAAATAAAACCTATTAAATAACACAACATTTGAGATGCTACCACTCCTTACCTTTTAACAACTTGATGCTACCATTCTCTTTATCCTACATGGCTTCAAAAAATATTACGTGACAAGATGTTAGAAATATTACCACTTCCTTTAGCCTAAGCATCGATCACAATAATGTGTTAGATTATTCGATGTCATGATAACCCATCAACCTTTTGTGCGTTTGGCTTCGTTAGACTAAGATTAGCATTCACGTTAAATTTTTATTATGGTTTTTAATCTTTTTTCCCCGAAGTGAAACAAGATGGCACATAAACTTCTTCCCAATATTTCTTCCGTCAAAAAACATATACTCCATCATTTTCATCATCACCACCAAATAAAACTCTAAAAAGCTTTCTAGTCCTTCAAACTAACGGAAAAATATTTCTTGGTTTCTTTTGTTACCCGTAACAATATAGAAATGAAAATTTTGTCCTATATTTAAACATACATTAAACGACTAACTCCAATATAAATAAAAGAAAAGTTTATAATCATTTACACCACCCAAAAAGGTAAAATAAGGAGCAAAAGTCATAAATACACTCCTGATTGTCACCAAATATAACCCTAAAAATCTTGTCTAAGCCTCATAAAAATCCCCTTTTCGTGCAACAAATGCAATCTTATGTTTAAACCTAGATATAAAGACCATGAAAAGCACCATAATTTGGCAAAAACAAAGGTTGTCACTTACCTTCAACTTAAAATAACAAATAAAATCCCATAATTTTGTTACTCTCACAATTGGATTTAAGTTGCACACCAATTACAAGTAGTAAAACTAAAAACAAATATACACAATCCATGAAACCAATTTACAACCACACCCCAAAACTCCAAAAAAAAAAAATTAAAAAAGCTCCAAACCCATAAAAATATCAAGCAAATCGAAACAAACTTGCAAATCCACATCTTTCATTCTGTATTTACCCACAAGTAAACACATTGTTTTTCCTTTTTTTTTTAAACTATTGCTATGTGACTCTTATCAACACATAAGAAATAACAATTCATTTAGACTCCTCTTTCTTGGAGACTTCTAGTTGCCTAGGCAAGAGGTTAAGAAAGCTTCCTTGTGTTTGTTGAGAGGAAGTTGAATCCGTTTCTTCTTCTACAAAAAAAAAAAAACAAATAAATTATTTATTTATTTATTAATTATAGCATTCTACTTTCTATACTTTAAAAAATATAACCATCATAGTAATGTTTTCTAATTGGTAGATTTTTCAAATTACAATGTCCAAATATTTCCATTTAAGATGTTCTTTTTTAATTGCGATGCTTATTTTTTTGAGAATTTTCAAGTCAAAAAATACCTATTTTAGCCATTGCCACCTCACAAATTTTTTGATGGTATAAATCTTGGTGAACAAGATTCCGCTATTTTGCAATAAATGAGGGTAATTTTGGAAATTTGGATTTAAGATGCAAACTTCCAGGAATGCGAGTAAAAACCCTAACCCTAACCCTAAAACCCCATTTGTTACTTCATTTTGACATGGTAAGATAGATTACTCTATTTTGTCATGAAGTTAAAGGGTATTTTAGATATTTTACTATAAACAACCATTTTCAGAAATATGAAGAGAGAGAGAGAGAGAGAGAGAGAGAGAGCTTACTAAAAAGTGACTTCACTGTTGGCCTCTTAGGTTTTGTACTCTTCTTCTTCAACTCAGCTGAAAATAAATTTTATGAAAAATTTATAATTAATTAATACAATGTTAATGCATCTTATTTCTTATCACAGTCTGACAAAAGTGATTTGCTTTCTAGGTCTATTTTTCGATGAGAAGGGCATTTACGTCTTTTTGGGTGGGACAAAAAAAAAAAGAATAAATGGTGTGAAGGTATATATATACCGATTCCTGGAACTTCATGTTCATTTACAATTTCAAAGTTCTTATAGGTGTACCCCATGAAGTTCACATCTTTTGAAGATAGCATCTGCAACTCAACAAATAAAATAAAAATTACAACATAAAAGATCAACAACTAGAAGATGACAAATATCTCAATTACAATTTGTTAATACTAACAAAATGGAAAACAATACTAATAATTACACAAGTATGGTTTATATTTTATAAATACAATTATTATTCATAAAAGAAAATCCGTTGGAAAATTTTATTTATAATAATTATTAATCGTGTATGGTAGCTTCAATAAAACTAAAACACCCGTCGGAAAATTTTATATATGATTAAAAATTCATAAAAGAAAATTTTGTTGGAATATTTTATAAATAATAATTATTACTCAATTAGACATTTATGGTATAGCTTGAATAAATCTAATGTTCCTTATTCAAGAAAAGAACACCCGTCGGAAATATTTATAAATAAATAAAATCCGTCGGAAATTTTTATATATAATAATTATTAGACATGTATAGTATAGCTTTAATAAATCTAAAGTTTCTTACTTGAGAAAAATAGTTGGGATATTTACTTTGTCATAGTTTATTATTTTTAAAAGAAATTAGGAAGGACAATTTTTTTTTTTTGAAAACAATATGTAGCAATGTGTTTATGTTCGAGTTTTACCAAAATATTTTATAGATCTTATTCCCTAAAATCTTACACAAAAAAATAATATGAAATAATAATTCAAATACCATTAAAATTTGATAATAGAATTTAGTTGACATAACCAGATTAACATTTATGTAACTTAATATAGTGGAAAATAAATGTGCACAATTATGTGATACCACTACATTTCGATCTAAATACATTTTAATGCGAACAAAAATGATAAATCATTTTATTATATGTAAAAAAAATATGTATTTTTATATAAACCAAGATTTTTACTAACCTTTCTCCAAGGACCTGATTTTGTTGAAGAAGGAATTTGGTTGTCACCCTGCAGTTGTATCACATCAAGAAAAACATAAAAATGTAAGAATATAAAATTAAAAAAAAAAAAATTATAAATTTGATATAAGGGTAACCAAATAAAGAATTCACCTCCTCAAACTTCTCAAAATTTTGGGTATCCAGCTCATCATTCACTTCTGGAATAAATGCAGCTTCAATTTGATACAACTTCTCCCAATCTATACCCTTGAACCATTGATGTGCCTATAAATAGAAAAACAACAGGTTAAGATGATGAGAATGAGGAGAAGGGTATTTACGTCTTTTTCACATCCATCAGTCTAGGACATTACCTTAATTTCATGAGCACCTTTGGTCCCAAGCCTCTTTTCAACATTGCATAAAAGTTTACAGATGAGATCTTTTGCCTCTGGTGACAATTTTGCCTCTTCGGGAAATTTCAAATGAGTTCTCCAATTCACTATCTGTATTTTAAATAATTCAATTTATAAACATCAATAAAGATATGAAAATTTATATAAAATATATGAAATTAGTCAATAATTACCTTTCTACAGGTGGACATTGGTTCATCTGAATAGAAGGGTGGGTATCCAACAAGCATTTCATACATGATAGCCCCAAGAGACCACCTATAAAGCAAGAAATCAAGATCCAATTTATTTCTTTAAAAATCGATAAACAAAATCCAATTTCCTTTTATTTAAAGAAAGAAAAAGATACAAACCAATCGCATTCCATTCCGTATCCTTTCTTCAGTAAAACTTCAGGAGCAATATAATCAGGTGTGCCAACAGTTGAATAAGCCTACATCATTAAAAACATCAAAGATTCATGTAACTATAATGTATTATTTTAGCTATATCATATATGTTATTTTAAATACTAGAATTAATGAACTTTTAGTTAAGAAAAATAACAGATTAAACATAATAAAAGCTCATTAAAACCAAAAACAAGTTATGTTAAAAAATAATACCTTTTAGTTATTTTCAAAAAGTCAAGATTTTAATTTAATTAAACCGATGAAAACTTCAGAAAAAAAAAAGATCTGTATCATGAAATTACATAAATAAAAATGCGTTATATCGCAATTTTTCATTCCATTCCATGATGGAAAGAAAATAAAACTTAAACACCACTTTTCTTTCGATTGAAATTTTCCAAAATGGAATCCATTTCATTAAGCAAAACAAACATATTTTTTTTCATTCAAATATAGAAATAACTTACAAGCATCCTTCTATTCCTCTGCCAATGCTGCAATTGCTCTTGTTGAGTGCGTTTGGGCATTGCAGGGCGCCCATCACTTTGAAGGGCCCCACTTAAATTATTTGCAGAAGAAAAATCTTTTTCTTGAAGATTACTGCAATCTAATGGTTTACATAATCCAAAATCTGATAGTTTCATGTGTCCAGATTTATCAAGGAGCAAGTTATCAGGTTTAATATCCCTGAAACATTTGAAAACAAAAAAAAAAATTATTCTTAATTCTTCTCATAACAACTATCACTTGTATGAAATATTGAAATCTAATGTAACAAACCTATGAATATAATTATGTCTGTGAATGGATTCGATTGCAAGAACAGTTTCACCAACATAAAACCGAGCTTCATCTTCAGTTAATGTGTCTTTTCGCATGAGTAATGTCATCATATCTCCACCAGGTAGATATTCCATTATGAGGTACAGAAATTCTTCATCTTGAAATGAACAATAAAGCTTAACAATGCAATTGCTATCAACTTCTGCAAGTAGGTTCCTTTCTGCTTTCACATGTTCAACCTAAAGAAAATTCAAATAAAAGGTAATTGTAAGCGTTTTTGGAAACAAGAAACAGTTTGATGATTTACAGAAATGCCCTTCCACCTGTCCTCTACGAAGCATTTCGGACTTCTTAAGTTTTTTCATTGCATACACATTTCCAGTTGTCTTCTCCCTGCATATTCTAACCTGTAAAGAAGGGAGACCAATTACCAATTACCAATTACAAATTACAAATATACCCTTCGGATTACAGACCGAGTTTTCAAAGTTTGTGAGTGGCAATTTGGTAAAAGAGATGTGTTATACCTCTCCAAATGCACCCTTTCCGATCATTGTCAATGGCTCAAAATCATCAGCACCCATTTTATGCCTCTGAAGGCGCATATATTCTGTTTCCTTCTTCTCCAGATGTTTAAGGAGATTGTTTTGTTCTTCTTCAGAGACCTCTGAATCAGCCAATTTCTTCTCAAGTACATTACGCCTACATCAAAAATGGATTTTTGTCACATTTTAAAGTGTTATAGTTATAAGAAAATGTATAGAGTTCATACCTTTCCCTCCTTTCATTAAGATTCTTCATTTGCTCCTTGTAGTGTTTTTCTATATACTGTTTAGCAGCTTCAACCTTCTGTTTAGTAGCATTTGAAGGTGCTTCTTCACTTGTTACTCTTTGACCTTCTTTTCCATAACTTCGAACTTCCTTTTTCTGTGAAGATTTAGGTTTATCTTTTGGTTTTAATTTTCTACACCAACGCTTTGCAAAATCCATTTTGTGATGATTGATTAACGCTTTCTTCTGATCAGGACTAAGTTACAATGAAAAGTATCTCAAGGCCGCGATTATCTTTTCACCTTTTTCCAAGAACATTGAAGCCAGTTACCGATCAACAAATTCTATCAATGCATAATCTGCTAAGACAAAAGCCACCATTAGAATTCAACAAAAAGATGATGAAAAAACGAGATAAAAAATCATAACTATTAAAGAGAAACTAACGATAGCTACTAATTTTGGTGAATCGAATAATATCGAACCCATTCCCTTCGGGCATAAAACCCCCAAAATTAAAAGAAAATTGATGATATCCCTTTAATCCAATCCGGAGCTAGTCTCGGAACTTTCTTCCACCCCCTAAAGTTACAAAACGGTACGCTTTTTGTAATTCTTAGATCAAACAAAAAGAACAATCAAATGTACCACTGAATCGGTGCTATATCAACAAAATTCAACCCGTTAAGTAAACATCAAGAGTAGAGAAAGTGAAGTTCGGATGCTGAAAACCCTAAATTCTAGTAATCTGGATAACTATTGAGAGAGTACCTAATTAAAAACCCTAGAAGGAGAGAGCAGAATCGTAAAGGAATGGAAGTGACGCGGAGTGAGAACACTAGACTTTTTGCATCGCCAGATTTTAGAGAGAGAAAACCAGCACAAATCTTGTCTTCTGGTTTTGAGCAGTTGAAAATCCGAAGAAATCTTTTTGAAACCAGTTCATTTGTTGGTGATTGTCTCGCGCGAACTTTCACGATGTTCTTCAATATATCGTTCCCATAATTCACGAGATATTGGCTTTTACTTAATTTAGACACATTTATTTATGGAACCTACAATTGGATTTTCTTTTCTATCGGCACATATAAAAAACAATTATTAATAAAAAACATTAATGGCAAAAATGGTGTGTGTTTGGGATTGTTTTTTTGAGCTCTACAAATAGTTTTAAGTGAATGTCTTTATCGATTTACTAGTTGTGTATATGTGCAAAATGACGGACGACAAATAGTTTGTTTCAACAATTAGTTTTATTGAGAAACATGTCGGGCATGTTCGGCACTGAGCATTTGGGAGCTTCTAGCATTTGAATAGAATTTAGTTTAAACAAAACGTTCTAAATCCAAAAGCTACTTCACGTAGAGTTTAACAAAATGTTGTCAGCTACCCGGTACCTACTAGTTTTGTCGAACACGTTCGTTATATGTCTAGGAACACAAGGCATATTCATTTTCTTATCGTTCGGTTTTGTGACAACAAATAGATGGAATATAATACAATGACGCTAGAGTTTTCATTAACATAAAGTTACTTAGGAGGTTGTAAACACTTGATTATGTCAGTGTCCGGAGTTGGGGGGGGGGGGGGGGGGGGGGGG